GCTTCATTGCGCGATAGCGATCACGTAAAAACGGTTTAGCACGATACTCAGTGAGGTTTAATTTCCATTAACTACTTCCAACGGGGTCTGTTATCGTCATTGAATCTAAACGACCAGAACTAGATAATAAACAACTTTACAAGAAAGTTTGAAACAGGCTCGCAGTGTGTTTTTGCGCAAAAATTCCCGTCATCAACTGTTCTACAATAAACTAGAATCCGATCCGTCTTTATTCGGGATTCCGAATTAAGATATTATTAAATTATGCTGAAAGGTCTTAATTGTGTACACCCTGAAGCCCTGCCTACACATGTTAATTAAGAAGTAAATGGTTTAAATATAAATTTCCTATAAAGACGCCTATTCTGTGTACAAAATGATGTTGATTCTAATTGGCGATATATATTAGGTAGTGTAGACATGATGAACAGGTAGGACGTAAACCTTGGCCGTTAGAGCTACGGCACAAAACGACAGACGTGTGCGTGGGTGCACGACTGCATGTGCGTGTGCGTGCGTGCACGCGCGCGTGTGTGTGTGAATCACTACAGCTAAGCACGTGCTTGGCAGTTAAAACGCTGTGTGCAGGTGCAATTTCTCACAGCCAGAGGCAACCATCACCAGACGTTGTTATAGCTGAAGCAGGACGAAAAAAAACTTTTGACAAAATTGTCACTACCCTAACGCCACGTGTTTTTTGATAACGCAGAGCAAAGAGCCAGAATCATTAGCTCAAATGTGGCACGCCTCGGTATCATGTTTGAGCAAAATGACCAGAAATGGTCTCTTTTTATGAAAGTTAGTTGTTGGCTGATTATTTAATGGTTTACTATTTTGGGACAACGAATTTGAGACCGAAACTCCTCCCCCCCACACACACACACCTCTAGCAGTATTCCAGATCATGGATGAAATTTCTACCTTTAGAAAACATGCCAACGGTTAAACGAAAATTGTCATTATATGCAAATCACAAACCGCAGTTCATATTCTTATAGCGCGAGTAGTGCAGACTAAGTACGTTACTACAAGCTGAGTATAATTAGCTTTATTGAATTAGATTATTGGATACTTTTATACTCGATTTTTTTGTAGTTGCGCTAGTGCTGCCAGAGCAAACAGGAGGAGGAATATATCGATCGATTATATGCCCATCGGCGTATAAAGAAAGGAGTATTGAAAGTCAGGTACATCATAGCCAGAATGACAATTTTCGTTTAACCGTTGGCATGTTTTCTAAAGGTCGAAATTTCACCCATAATCTGGAATACTGCTACAAATAATTAGAAAGCAAATAAAGTACAATGTGAAATTTATAAAAACAAAGTTTGATAAATCGGGTCGATTTTGAAGAGAGCTTTCACACGACGTTTGATCGATCAGTTCTAGGTCATGCCTTGGTAAGCGAATGTGGCTCACCTCTAGATTCCAGCAACGCTGGTGGATTGATGGAAGGACGCCTTCCCAACACTTCGTCCAATTCCTTGAAATAACTGCCCTTCTCGATCTGTTGTTGTCTACCATCTTATAAGTATTCTACCTTCTTATAAGTTTTTCTTAATCGTTTGAGCCGATTATTAACTTGTTGTACAGTTTTAACTGTCCCCCGCTCAGCCAGTTTTTCAGCAATTTTTTAGTAGGCTAGACGATTTCTCGAGGTTCCTCTTAACTGCGCCTGTATAAAATCCGATTTCGAAATCTCGAGAAGAGCGACATTGTCCTCGTGAGGCCACAGTCGATCAATCCCCTTCTGCTGCTTTTTTTGGCATTTTACCGCTTAAGGAGATGAGTTTGGATGCTACCATCTAGCTGCCGATTAACATCTGACTATGTAAATTATTACGCTTACATATAGCAGAACGATACTGATTTCGTCAATGTTGTAATTAACATGGGGGTGTCTATATTCAAGCCGGTACGGGAGATTACGGTACGCATATATTTGCTAATATATTGACTAATCGTTTGTCAATAAACTCAATATTCACAGAGAGTATAGCTAAGACATGTGTCTATAGGTATCTAGAATATATTATGCAAATGATCTCCCGTACTGGCTTGAATATGTGAATATTGAGTTTATTGACGCACGCTTAGTCAATATATTAGCAAATGCCAAATATATGCGCGCGGAAGTGAATTACAGATGATTAAATTTCTAAAATTCTAGATACCTATAGACACATGTCTTATAGCTATACTTTCTGTGAATATTTTGTTTATTGACGCACGATTAGTCAATATATTAGCAAATATATTAACATTAACATGGCCCTCGTGTCTTGCCGTCAGTGCTGCGCGTGTCGTGACGTCAGTGCTGCGCGTGTCGTGACGTTAATGCTGCGCGTGTCGTGACGTCAATTCTGCGCGTGTCGTGACGTCAGTGCTGCGCGTGTCGTGACGTCAGTGCTGCGCGTGTCGTGACGTCAGTGCTGTTTTCTTGCGAGTCGTAAATAACGCGCGAGGACAAATATGCCCGAATTTTCGAACTTTCTCGGTGATTTTTACTTGTAATCGGCAGAGCCACATTAGAAATTGCGTGCATAAATCTCGGTCCTCATCGCATATTACTCTATATTTCCTATCCGGAATATTTTTCTGTATATTTTTGCGATATTTACATCAAATTTTGCTAGCTAGTACCAATACAAAATATTATATATTGTTTGCTTCAGTATTGTTGACGGTTGCTGGGAATGATCGCGCGGCAGGGGGGTTATTCCACGAGACAGCACAGGTGGCACTCATTATAAGATTTCTTGCAAACAACAGTAGGTCAAGCATCGATGACGCTGTGCATCTTTCGCGCTAAATTGCTCGCGTATTCGAGAATCGATTATAGCGTGCGTGTGTGTGTGTGTGTGTGTGTGTGTGTGTGAGTGCGTGCGTGCGTGCGTGCGTGCGTGCGTGTCGTGCGTGCGTG